GGGGGATGGTCACGCCACAATCCCCTCTCCTCCATTCTCCTCTTGGGATCTTGGGCACACATGCACACGCGCCCGGCATCAGTTTTAAGCCACCGGGTCCAGGACACAAACCGCGGTCAACTACGTGGGAGTCCAGCGACATAGCCATTACACTAACTGCTGGTTCCCTACAATTCTTATAAGAAATATGTGGAAATATATATATGTGTTTGTACTCTTGAGTACAGAGTCTTTATATATATATATATATAAAGATATATATATATGTTTTATATACATAAAACCTAAATACTTTTAATGATCAGTAGAAGATTTAAATAAATGATTAACTTGTGTCATATTTTTTGATGGAAAGACAATTTTAAAAATGTTAGTTTCTTCTAAATTAACATATTTGTTTATTATAATTATCCTCATAATTTCAGTGAGAATTGTGCAGAGCTCTTAATCTCATATGGCAAAATTTGAAGTTTAGGGCTCATCAAAGAAGAATTTTGAAGCCCCAGAATTTCAGATGACCCTTTTAGAAGGCTATATCCTAAAAGTAACAGGGAATTAAAAAATAGTTAATTTCTCACAAAGAGTAGAAAATAACTCATCTAGAGCCTCAAGTAATTCTGCAGTAATTTACATGTAATATCTGGCTTTACTTAAAAAACTACCAGGCATACTAGGAAAGAAGATCAAACGAAAGAAAACCAAGAGGAAACATAGAAACTATAAGTAGTCATACATTTCATCCAGATACTGGAGTTATCAGACCTAGACTTTAAAATAACTGTGATCAATATGTTTAAGAAATTGAATAATTTGAGACTTTGAGGCTATCTATTAAACTGGAAAATTTAGAGACTTTGAAAATCAATTAAAAATCCCAAATGAGAAATTCACCCACTGAAATTGAGAATTCAGTAAAACAGAGTATATGTACCTCAGAAAACAACCTCATATTAAAATAATATGTGATCAAGGAAGTTTCATGAACTGATGGTGATGTATATATTATTTAACAAATAATTTGAGAGAAAATTAATGTAGTAAAAGCAGCATCTCACATCCCACACCAAAATATGTTTCAGGTGGATTACGTGAGTTGATTTAAAAAGTAAAGTCATAAACATTTTTATTATAATTTTAAAAGAAATCAAAATGCTTTCAGGCTTTCATTTTTGGCATATGATTGCTGTGTTTTAAATTTTGATGTTGACATTTTTATTTCTGTGCTGAATTGAGTTTAAAATATTTTACTTTGCTTTAAAGTTTAATATTCTGCCACATTTTGGAGAATTTCCATTTCATTTGAAGAGTCATAGACAATTTGTAAAGATAGTGCAAAAGGTGGTGACATTTTCTCTCAAGGCAATAAATTGAAGACTTCTAATTTTCTTTTGATTTTTTTTTTTAATGTCAAGTACTAAATGAGTTTTAAAGTTGGAAAGAGGTCTTTTTTCTTTATCACCTGAAGATGGGAAATTCTTCACTTATATATCCTTATACACAAAGCTCAAGTTGGTTGAGGCTTTGAAGTACTTTATCTAATCCTCCATTCTACAAACAGGAAGCTCTTTGTAAAAAAAGTGACCATCTGCATTCTTAAGACTAATTTTTGCAGAGAAAGATGTAGAACTCATAGTTTTACATTCATGGTTCATTGCTTTTTATACTCAAGCTCTGGTCTTTCACCATATACTTTTAGAAGCACAATTACATGTCCAGTTCACAATCTAATTCTTATTTTTATTTTTAGTTGTGCTTCAGAAGTTAGAGGAAAGAAAAGTCAGTAGTTTTATTTTTCATGATTCATGATTTTTATTTTTCAAAAAATGTAAATGAGGCTGGCCCTGTGTCCTAGTGGTTCAAATTCTGCTGCAGTTTGAATCCTGGCCCCAGCAACTTCAAAAATAGATGGAGGGGGGACCCAGCAGTTAGCGTAATGGCTATGTCGCTGGACTCCCACGTAGTCGACCGCGGTTTGTGTCCCAGACCTGGTGGCTTAAAACCCACGCTGGCCGCGTGTGCGTGCATGCCCAAGATCCCGAGAGGAGAATGGAGGAGAAGGGATTGCGGCGTGGCCATCCCCTCTGGGGGGTGATTTCTCGCTTTCTGTCTCTCTGTTTCTGTCTGTCTGGCGCGCGCACGCGCCCTATAGTGAAAAACCTCTCAAAAAAAAAAAAAATACAATGAGTACATGTGCATGCATGCCCCAAATCCTCACAATATGGAGAAATGGAAGAGAAGGAATTGTGATGTGACTATACCCCTTTTAGGAAGGCTTTTCCCCATCCTTCCTAGCTCCTCCTACCCTATCTCTCTCTGGCGAGCATATGTGCCAACTGGCAATAATATTTTTAAAAAGTGTAAATGGAAGTCCACCATCTGTGATTTTACTTTTTGCCTTTCTCTCTCTCTCTCTTTTTAAATTAAACGTATTTTATAAAAAAAAATAATAATAAAAGTAAACACGTAACTTTTCTCTTTTAGACTAGTAACGGTTAGTCATACAAAATGTCAATAATATTTTGGAAGAGTTTATAAATTAACTATGTACTTTGCTATCTTTGTAAAGATTGTGGTAAAACACATATAGAATAAAATTTACTGTCTTGGGGCCAGCAGGTGGCATGGTGGTTATAATGCTGGATCCCACATGGCCGAGTCCATAATGTGAGTCCCAGAGGCAGTGTCTTGAAAAACACATTAGGCACATGTGCATGTGTACCCAAAAATCCCAAGAGGAGAATGGAGGAGAAGAGATTGCAGTGTGGTCATGTCCCTCCCGGGGGGTGGAAGTAACTTCTCACTTTCTCTCTTTGTCTCTCTCCAGCAAACGCTATGGAAAAAAATGTTACTATCTTAACCATATTTAAGTGTACAGTTCTGTGGTGTTAAATACATTCACATTGTTGTACAACCAGTCTTTAGAACTTTTTTCATCTTTCAAAATTCAAACTCCACACTTATTAAACAACAATTTCTTATCTTACCCATTTTCCAGCCTTCAACTTCTCTTTCTCCTTATATAGAGAAATTTCTATAGGGTGACTGCACTTGCTAGAGAGACATAAGGTGAGAAATCACTCCCCAGAGGTATGGCCACACCTCAGTCTCTTCTCCATTCTCCTTTTGAGATTTTTGGGCATGCACACAAAGGCACACGGTGTGAGTTTTAAGCCACCAGGTTCGGGACTTGAACCATGGTCAACTATGTGGGAGTACAATGACACAACATTATACCATCATCCCCTTCATCTTCTCTTTTATACAGCACCTTTCAAATTTCTGTATCCCATAATCTGCAATTTCCCTCATCAATGGACCTCAGCCTCCCTTCTTAGCTTTACCTCCCAGGACATCTTCCCATGTGGTTTATTCCCAGTTGTGGTTTTCACTTCTCAGATATACTGGAAACTTTTGAAAAATCTCTGAATATAACTGGAGTTTTTCTTTCTTCCCTTCATATTTTTACTGTATTTTAGAATTGCCTTTTTTTTTCCCTTTTGAGTTATACTTTATAACTTAAGTCTATGTGTTCTCATTATTGAACCTCCAGGATTTATAACAAGAATTTCTTCTTCCAGTGTGTTTCTATGGCATTTTGCTTGAATCCTTACTATGATTCTTATTTTATGTGTGGCTAATTTCTTGTGTACACCTCTGTCTGTGGCCTGTAAACCCTTTTCGGGCCAGAGTGCACTCTTCTCTGCATTCCCAGAGTACGTTGCTCAGTACTGTTCTCTGGAGAAATATGTAAAGATTGGTTCATTGATTCAAGAAATATTGATGTTTATTGAGCTTCTACTCTAGGCTCTGAGAATATAGAGCTGAATAAGTCATACAAAAGTCCTTGATTTCATGGGACTTACCTTTGTGGGGAGCCCAACAAAAGACAAAGCCAGGTAAAGAAAATGATGAAGATGGTCATTTGGAAAGGACCTAGTGGAAGATAACTGAGTGATTTACAACAAGAGACTTTTTAAATAGTATAGTGCATTCAACATTTATTAAGTTATTGGAAAAGTCATGACATATTTTTCTATGTAAAAATGTGTCATAAATGTGTCTTGACTTTTCTGTCAACCCAATCTGTAGTAATATTAAGTTATTCAATTGCCATCAGAACTAGGATATTAGAGCCTACCAAACTAATCATAAGCATGTTTTTTACAAAACTAATTTAGGGGACCAGCAGTTAGTGTAATGGCTATGTCGCTGGACTCCCACGTAGTCGACTGCAGTTTGAGTCCTGGACCTGGTGGCTTAAACTCACGCCGGGCGTGTGTGCGTGCATGCCCAAGATCCCGAGAGGAGAACAGAGGAGAAGGGATTGTGGCGTGGCCATCCCCCCTGGGGGGCGATTTCTCGCTTTTTGTCTCTCTGTCTCTCTCTGTCTGTCTGGCAAGCACACGCGCCCTATAGCAAAAACCTCTCCAAAAAAAGAAAAAAAAAACTAATTTAGGAGCCTCTGCAACCAACTGAAATATTTTTAATCACAAATGTTAGAGACTATTAATGGAATTTAGCATTTGGCTATTAACTCATACTGAACATTATTTTATGGGCTGAATCAGAACGTAAGGGTAAGTAGATTAATACAAAATTGAAAAATATTAAATAAAAATTATTTTTCATTTATTTATTGTTAGTTATCGGGTTTGACAAGTAATTCCTGACTCTTTACTATCTCATACCCCATTTTACAATGACTAAATTCTGTTGTCTCTACCCTCAGATTATATTTAGGATCTAACCATTTCCCATCACTTTCAACATGAACATCATGATCCAAGATACCATCATCTTTCACCTAAATTTTTGCAGTCGTCTCCTAAATTCTTGGTAGACATAATGCAGTTAGCCTCTTCATACTCTCTGGTGATATACAGTTACATACATCACATATCTTAAGTCTCCAAAGTTTTACTCTCTCATACAAAGTAGAAATCAAAGGACCTACATCTCCTACCATCTCTCCCTGTCTATTCTCTTTTTACCACATTTTCCTTCTTACTGCTTCTCAAAGACAGTGACCATATTTCTGCCTCAGGACCTTTATATTTGCTATCCCCTTAGCCCCACACACATTCCTCAGATTCATATTGTTGACTGTAAACTTTCCTTCCGGCTCTGATTACATGTGATCTTATTAGAGAAGTCTTTTCTGATCACCTATATAAAAGGTACTCAGAAAGTTCACAGAGTGCCAGTTGATGGTGTGGTGATTGAGGCTGCTGGATCCCACATAGCTGACAGGGTTGTTTGAGTGCTAGATCCGGCAGCGGAAGAAGCATGCCAGGTGCATATGTGTGCATGCCCAGAATCCTGAGAGGAAAATAGGTGTGCTTTCTCACTTTCTCTTTCTCTCTTGTACCTCCAGTGAGAACATGCATCCCATAGCAAATAGAAACAAAAAAAGTGTATGGAAAATGGAATTAAAATATAAGTTTATTTTGGTGTAAAAGTATTTTGAAATCCATGGTTAGTTTTTTTCATAATATACATTTTCCATAAACTTTTTGAAAATCCCTCATAAAATGGCTTCTGTGTCTCCCCCTACCCCTCTTACCCCCTACCTTTGTTACTTACACACATACACACACACACACACACACACACACATTTATCTGTATTGTTTATTGTCTCTATTCCCTATACATACTTGTAAGGTCAGTTTCAAGAGAGCAACGATTTGTCTATTTTTGTGTGTTTTGTTATATCCTTAATACCTGGAATAGTACCAGGCACATGGTAGATGTTCACTAAATATCTGATTAACAGATTAGTTATCTGCAGAGTGAGATGTGAGCTTACATGTTAGGAAGTACTATTAAGCAAAAGCCTTATTGTACTTGGCAATACCTGTGGCTCAGTCTCAAACCCTGCTCTCAGAATCTCCTAGTCTAAGAGTGACCTGACTGTTAATGGACCACATGAAAACGTTGCATTTGCGGTCTTCCTCACTGCACTCTGAGGGGATGCTTTAGTGTGATTGCTGGTAATATTTCTGACCTGCCATTGGTAAGTGGGTATCTGTCGATGATCAACTTTGTTTATGAATTTTCTCTGGAGGAAAAGGCAGCGCAACTCTAGGTGATTGGTCAACAAGTACACCATCCCTTGTGTCCTGTGTCTTCACATTTGAAATGAACAGTGAGAAGATAGAGAATACATATATGTAAGACAGTCTCCGTTGAAGAATTGCCTTACTTTTTAAAATAATAATTTAATTACTTTTTAAATAAAAGTTTTAAATTTTATGCCAGAGGGTAACATGTGCTTGCCAGAGAGAAAGGTATGATTTGTTTTTCACACAATTTTATATGACAGTTCATCAGATAATTAAAAAACACTCAATGGTAAGTCATTCCAGGTTATCATTCGTGTATTCACTATGAACTACTGACAGACAAATTCAAACTACTGTGTTGGAATTGAGACTCATTTAGTTTGTTCAACCTATAATTGAGAATTAATGGAAAATAAAATGACAAAATATGGGTTTCCATATGCCAGAATGCAGAAAAGCCCTGGCCTAGACAATCAATACCTTTGTGACCCTGACAAATGAAGACTTGGCAGTATCACATCATTGGATAAATTGGAAATAAATCACAATCGCAGAATTCAAAGTGCAATTTCACATTGTATTTCTCCAAAATAACTTTAGGATTTTATGATTTTTCAATTTCAAAATTTTATTTTTAAGTATTTTAATAAGTGTTAGGTTATTTTTATTCCAACTTAAAAATAAATGCTCAAATGCTCACAATTCAGTCAGTTTATGTTGACTTCTCTATTCATTATGACTCATGACTTATAACTAGATGTACATATTCAATTTAAAAGGTTTTTATTGGATTTGAAAACCTGTCTGATTTTTGAATGTTTATTTAAGAAATCACTTCAGAGTTATATATATTTTTAAATAAACGTTTTTTTAAAGAATTACTTTCATAAATGTGTGCACAAACCATAGGAGTATGGCTTAATGTAATTAAGAGTTTCAAAATTTTTCTCAATCACATTTCAGACACTAATATCTGGAGCTGTAGTAGAACAACTTGACTTCCTGAGAATCAGTGGCACAGAAGAGTAAGTCCTCTTGGGTTATTTAATTATTGTATTTCATAGAAAAACTGGAAATCTAAATTTTTTTCCCCAAATTTTCAGGCTTCCGGAATTTAAGAGTTTCGAGGAACTAGAACTTCCCAAACATTCAAAAGTCAAACGACAGAGCAGCACCTCCAGTGCTCCTGAACTGGAACAGCAACCTGATATCAACATTACTGAGTGGAAAAACAAATCTACTCATGAAATTCTTCAAAAACTGAATGTGAGAAAGATATAATTCCCAACATGTTCTTATGTGAGATTGCCAGAACAAGCATTCCCAGAGTCAGGCCATCTGTCCTCCTAGAAAAGGTAGCAATTTTTCTGGAGGTAGATGGCTGGCTACACCCAGGGGAGCAGTGAGAACGTTTTCTCTTGGTCTGGCGGTTATTAGTATGAATGTCTAAAAGGTGCTTAAAGAGTGAGAATTAATGGGGTAGTCTTGGATGTGAAAGTGTTATATGAGCATTTAAAGAAGTTAGGTCAGTAATGGTTGCCTTTAGGTTCTCCAAATTTCTCTTTAGTTGCTCTTCCCCTCCCTTTAATATTTCTATCTCATCTGTGTCTAGATCTAATATTGCTTTAAGTCTCTCCTGTTACCGAAGAAGGGTTCTGAGTACATTCATATGACTATTTTAGCTCAATGTTTTACCTTTCCAAAGAATATTTACATTTTAAAAAGGGGGAGGGATTTCATTCAAGAAAGAATGAATTTTACTCATCGAGAAAATGAAATTCTATCTGTAAAGCTATTAATATTGTGACACTTTGTCTAGTCCAGACACATTTGAGCATGTAAACCAAATACATATCCTTCCAGACGTCATCAGTCCTTATTAGTGATATGAATATACCCTAATAAGCATGCATATGGTATAATAGACATAACTCACATGACACAGTGCCCTAATAGATAATACGTACTCTGCACATGTCCCCACCCATCATCCATTTCTTTACAACAAGTTAATGGCAACACGATCTCCCATTTACTAATAAGTAACATCAAGACGGGAATGGTTAAATAATTTGACCAAGTCTCTCAGAAAGTGGCGGAATCGGTATTAATGCTTGTAGACAAAATATTTTCTGTTCTTTCTTATCTTGTTTCCTGGAAAATTTCAATTATTAAATTCTGCTACTCCAGAAGCCAACTTGTCTACTTCTATTTCGAAGATATCTAAGATAAATAGTTGTGTAACGTCATGTCATGCTTGGTATTATATCAGTGACATTTTATCTTTCCTCAGTTCCATAGCAGCATATCTCCTTTCTGCATCATTTGGTATTGTGATTAGTTACCCCTGTGGTAGCTCCAGTACCCATTTAATTCATCCTTTACGGTGATTTATATTTTCAGGACTGCAGTTGTCTCGCTAGCCAAGTTATTCTACTGGGTATACTGCTCAAAAGAGAAGGCCCCAACTTCATCACAAAAGAAGGTAAGAGTGCATGTCTAGGAGAAAATTTTTAATAATAGGACCTCCCTATTCTTGAACATATATCAGATATGCATAAAAACTCCACGAAAATATTACAAGTTATTTCTTTCTTCCTTAAATACTTTCTTTACTTTTTTTTAACTTTTGAATAAGAAATGGTCATTTATCTCTCTTAAAGTGAAATAGACTGATGCATGAACTCTTAAATGGCTTTTTTCTTTAAAGAGGTTTTTGCTATAGGGCACGTGTGCTCACCAGAAAGATAGAGAGAGACAGAGAGACAGAAAGCAAGAAAATACCCCCAACCCCCAGGGAGATGGCCATGCCACAATCTGTTCTCCTCCATTCTCCTCTCATGATTTTGGGCACATACGCACACGCTCCCAGCCTGAGTTTAAGCCACCAAGTCCTGGCCTCAAACCATGAAAACATGGGAGTCTGGCGACATAGCCATTATGCCAACTCCTGGTCCCCCTAAATGGCTTTTTTGCAAGTGATATTTGATTGTTTCTCTGACTGTCTGAATGGTGTTGACACCTGAACTCTCCCTGTGACTGTTAACCTCCCATGACTTCATAGTTGTTTAATTGATAGTTTCTATTTCCAGTTTTATTTTCTGTAATTTTTCTAGAATAATATTGAATTGTTATGTCCATAAAGATTAGTTCACTCATGGTCTACAGCAGCCATTTGTAATGGAAAATGGCATTTAATAGAATTACATGCTGAGGGGGCCAGCAGAAGATAATAGCAGTTGCGTCACTGGACTCCCACGTGACTCACTGCAGTTAGAGTCCAAGACAGTGGCTTCAATATCACACCAGGTGTATATGTGTGCATGCCCAAGATTCTGGAAGCTGAATAAAGGAGAAGAGATTGTAGGCACAGCCATCCCCTCTGGAGGGTGATTTCTCACTTTTTCTCTCACTTGTCTCTGTTTCTTTCTCCCCCCTGGTAAGCTTACATACCCTAAGGCAGAAACCTAGAGAAAAAATAAAGAATTACACTCTGAAGAGAGTTAATAAAAATAAATAATTTCTATTCATGTCTGTATCCACCCTGCAGTAAGGATGAACTCTAGTTATCCCTGAACTCCATGCTTGTATGTTGAGTCAGTAAAGATCCTTGAGTTCTGCATCATGGTTGTCTTCTGGTGTTTGCTAATACAGAATAATATAGGATACCTTCCAAGTACTTAATATTTAGCTACTCAAAAATTTTGGTCTTATCCAAAAATACCTTATTCAGAGGTATGCATGTTTATTTGATTAGAACAAAAAGTTGAGTCATTGTGGTAAATAGCAGGATAAATATTGGGTCATTGAAAAAGTCATGATGCATTTTTACATAGAAAAATAATCATAACTTTTCTGACATCCCAATAATAATATTCATAGTTTGGACCAGCAGGTGGCATGAAGGTTAAGGTCCTGGATCCCACATGGCCCACTCCACATTTTGAATCCCAAACCCAGCAGCATGAAAATCATACTGGGTACATGTGCTGCAAACCCAGAATCTTGAGAGAAGAATGTAAGAGAAAGAATTGTGGTGTGGCCATTCCCCCAGGGGGTGATTTCTCACTTTTCCTCTCTCTCTGTCTCTCTCTGGCAGGTACACAAGCCCTATAGTAAAAACTGAAGAAAAAAAGAAAAAAGAAAAAAAGCTATGATTCTGATAATGAGTTGAGTTAGTTTTGGTAATATTGTAGTTAAGGGATAACTTTCTTCAGCATTATACATGTAAACTGAATAATCTTAAATCTCTTAGCCTGTTAAAGGCAGAATTTTAAGCTAATTTCAAACAGAATCCCTCATATTTCTCAGTTTGTCTCTTTTTAAATTCATTTAAAAAAATTTTTTTGGAGAAGTTTTTGCTATAGGGCATGTGCACTTGCCAGAAAGACAGAGACAGAGAGACAGAAAGAGACATCCCCAGTGGGGATGACCACGCCACAATTCCTTCTCCTCCATTCTCTTCTTGGGATCTTGGGCACACACACACATGTGCCTGGCGTGAGTTTAAGCCACCGGGTCCGGGATACAGGCTAATTTGATGGGAAGTGGTCCAGTCACAGCCTCAGGGACTGCATGGGAGTTCAGTGATATAGCCATTATGCTAACTGCTGGTCCCCATTTTAAATTATTTATTTATTTATTTATTATTATTTATTATTATTATTTTTAAAAATTTGCCACAGGGTACATGCTCACCAGACAGAGACAGAGAGACAGAAAGAGACATCCCCAGTGGGGATGACCACGCCACAATTCCTTCTCCTCCATTCTCTTCTTGGGATCTTGGGCACACACACACATGTGCCTGGCGTGAGTTTAAGCCACCGGGTCCGGGATACAGGCTAATTTGATGGGAAGTGGTCCAGTCACAGCCTCAGGGACTGCATGGGAGTTCAGTGATATAGCCATTATGCTAACTGCTGGTCCCCATTTTAAATTATTTATTTATTTATTTATTATTATTTATTATTATTATTTTTAAAAATTTGCCACAGGGTACATGCTCACCAGACAGAGACAGAGAGAAAGTGAGAGAGAGAAAGACAGAGGGTGAGAAAGCAAGCTGTCAGATCTGGGATTCCAACACCTTAACTACCACACCGTCTGCTGACCCCCTTCAATTAGTCTTAAAACCATAAATATAAGTAGAATCTTAGTTATTTTGGGGACATTCATTGAAATTTGAATTTTAGCTAAAAGAACTGAATTTTTAAAAATAAAACATTTAGTTAGGCACCTATAATTCAGAGTGGTTATTTTAGTATAATCTTAAATAAAGCAAAATTTGTATAAAATAGTTTATAAAGAAAATATGCCCAGCATGATTTCCAAGCCTCCAGGTCTGGGATTCAAACTGCAGTTGGCCATGTGGGAGTCAAGCTCCTTACCCACTGTGTCACCTGCTGGTCCCCAGTGTAAAATTTTAAACATCTTTACCCTTGTTTCCTTTTTGGTGCTCTGTTCTGTTAAATTATGGATTTACTGATAATCTAGTCTTGAGGACAGACCACATGTAAACTGCAGCCCAAGAATGAAGACCAGCAGTTGATGTCTTTGGAGTTCTAGTATGTATTGGAATGATTGTAGTCCCATGCACAGAAGAGAGCCTCAACAAACTTTTGAATAAATGAAGGATTATATATGTTTAGAGTCTATAGTACTTATTCACTTTGCTAATTATCTTACTATACTGTTTTTTAATTTTTTACAGTAAATTAAAGTGGTATTTGTGCTTGTTAAAAAGATTAGATAATATATTAAGAAAATAATTGAATTTCAAAAAGTAAAATACTCACCAAAATCATATACTCAAGACTAAATAGTAATAAATGCTGGTGACATGTAGTCCCCGTATTTAGATTACATGTTTAAATATAAAAGTTAGTTTAGAACATTTAGGGATGATGTATCAAATCTGGTGGAACAAAACGAACACTTGAGAGTGATTTTTCTAAAGGGGAATAAATGTTATGAATTTAAATGAAAACCTTCTTCAACAAAGACTCTATTATTCAATGTCTAGGTACCGTTTCTGATCACATTGAGAGAGTCTATAGAAGAGCTGGCAGCAAAAAGCTTTGGTTTGTATTAGTGTCCTTGTCATTATGTTTTTTGTGTTGTCATATTCAATAATCTAAAAATAATGGGCCATTCTGAAAGAGGATTACTTCTACTCTCCCAGGTTACAACATCATGACTATTTTTTAAGAGTGTGCTTATATTCCATTGTAGCATAGCTTCCCCAGATATTTTTTAAAAAGTGTCTAGGAATAAACCTGTGTAGGAGTTGAACCTTGAGAGTAGTCACTGGAGTGAAACAGTAATGGCTCATTTCTACTCTGTCCCTCCTCTGTCTTATCAAGGTGGTTTAGGTTTTATTTTATATTTAGGAAACCTGTGCTATTATCATAGAAAACCATGAAAAGAGTAATCATAAGCAAAAATAATATACTTAGAAAGTAGTTCCCTCATCACTTAAGTTGAGTGAATTCCGATGATTAGAGTTGCTTCATGAAGAATAACTAATTTGCTCTATAGAGGTAGTCTCTTCATAGTGATTTAAAACAAAAATTAGGTGAGTCTAGGTAAAATTTTTAAGTCCACAAGGCGGTAGGTATGCCCAAAAGCAAGGTCTGATGCAATTCCTCTAGTTTTACTACATTATCTAACAAATCT